TTTTGGCTTCACTCCTGGATTCTGAGTATACCCGTTTTGTGTCCCAGCTTGTCTAGGACATTGGCTTGGCCTTGTCTTTGGCCCTTCATGCTCCTGACTTCTTTTGACCTGGTTCTAGCCCTTTAAACCTGAACCCCAGCACTAGTCTAACTGGCTGACCATTTAGCCAGTCTGTGGCCCCCGGTAAAGGGGGTGACTTGCGTGTTATATTGTTGCAGAACATTGAATTCATGATTATTTTCCCACTAGAAAAGGCATTCCCAGCTGATTCAAGGTTCTATCTCTTCTCTGGCACTTTCACTGGGCAATTATAAGGATTTGTCAGTCTAGGAGAGGTCCAGTGATTCCTTCACCCTCAACTGGGTGTTCATCTTTAAGATCAGATATATCCAAAATTACCTTAAAGAAGAAGGAGGGAGAACATGAGTCTTGCCTGATTTACGCCAGGGGTTGATATATAAAGTAGTGAAGGATAAACTTGGCTAGGCAGAGAGAGCGGGGTGAGGTTCTTAATATATGATTGAGGAGCTTGGCTTTAAACTAAGGAGGAAATGTACAAATTTATGTTTCGGTCATAACAAACCATCCATTCCCTGGCTGTGTTCCCTCTCAGAATTCTTAGAGATGGGATAATTCTAAACCAAATATAGAATCCACTTCAGTTTCATGGATCTAATGTTAGAAAAAAAATTCACACTTTTAAGTTTCCGATTATACAGCTCTGACAAAGATCACTTCTTGGTTCAAGAGGTTAGAGCTTTTGGATTGAACTCTCACAAGCCCTAGTGAACCAATAACTCTTTCACACCTTAAACAAGTATCCAGTGACTTGAAGATAAATCAGAACTGCATACATTATATCCCTCTCCTGCCCTCTCCCATAACCTTTAAATCAGAAAGGAAAGGAAATTACAGCCAGGAGGTATTTCCATTTGCCAAGCCCCAAACCTTAGCAAGACAGAGTCACTGAAGACATTTTGTGAAATACCAAATACCATTTGTTCTCTCAGTATCTGGAGAAGGGCTTACTTGAAACCACCCCAGACATGAAACGATAAAGAGGTCTCTAACAATTTGATTATGCTGCATCCATCTCTCAGGCACCATTCACATCTAGGAGAATGCATATGGGTACCCAATTAAGACAGAGGGACACAGACTCCCCCCCCAGTATATTCTTTGCCTGAGCATGCAGATCTGTCTGGGTGCAGAGTTCTGAAGGGTGACGAGAAGGCCATCTTTGCACACTCTGCTAGGTAAATTACAAGCAACTGATCGACAAATTCAATCTACCATCTTGTAGCAGAAAGCCAAGGTTTCCACCATTTCCAAGGTGAAAGAATTCCAATTAGAAAAATCCCATAATAAGTCTTCCTATGTTTGACACAAATTGAGTATGACATGCAGAAAAAAATTTATGACCAGTGCTTTCATTTAGGACACTCTAGTTGATAAACTTAAGAATTGCTTAATTCCCCATCTTTCCCCTCCTGTGGCTTTGGTCATGAGTAACAGAGATTTTGCTAATTGGAAATGAGAACACACTTTTGTACTGTCTACTATAAAGGGTGGGGTTAAAACTACCCTCCCTGAGCTGACAATACTTAGTAATACACTAGATGAGACAATAAGAATTAGAAAAACCTTAAAAATATGCACATCCAAATGAAAGTTGCTTCTCAAAATTACCATCTTGGAAAGCAACTCATTTATTTACTTTATTGCCTTCAGAGAAAGTTCACAAGCCATATTTGAAATCCAGTCCTATCCTATCACTTATTCCTTGTTTTTGACCCAAAGCAGCATTACCCATCTTGACTGTTTTCAAAGATCACCCTGCCAGGATGAATATTACTGCACTGGTAATAATCCACTCAATGTGCTAAAAGCTCTGAAGACAATAATCCCCAGAGCAAAACCCTGTAACTGTGCTGAACAACAGCACCCTTATTAGCATAAGTCCAGCCCCCCCAAAGGTGAACGCTTTTAAGAGGGCACCACTTATTTGACCATGGAGCTCTGGTACACCTGCTTACAACTCAGACACAGGACTTCCGAATCCTCCCTCTTGGAACTGTTGAACAGGAAGGGACAATTTGATTCAATCTACAAAGTTACGATAAAGCCGTAGATGGGTCGCCATGTCTGGCATGTACAGAAGGGGCCTTTGGCTTGAAATACTGCTGTCACTTCCTCCACTTTTTAAGAGCTTTCTTGAAAAGAGGAAAATTATCTTGGCATCATGTGTCATAGGCACTGGAAACAGGTAAATATCATCTAAGACACTGAAAGATGTATGTTGATTTGGCCATCAGCACCCACTGGTGTGCTTGGGTTCTGGAAGCTTCGAGGGGGACGAAGAGGTCATGAGTGTGCTGTACAGTTGTAGATAGGAGAAATGGAGCCGGAAACAGGACCGAGGATGGCAGGAAGGCTCCCAAAGAAGGGCTGACGGGGTGACCAAAGAGACATATTTCCTGTTGTAAATGGCTTACTTTGGTTAGCTCCATAATGTTCACCCTCAGGAAGGTCAACAGTCACACAGATATTTTTTTATTCTTTTCTATAACAACTCTGAAGGTTAGAGTTTAAGACTTTCTTTACCCCCAAAGGACTTCATCTACCTTGTAGATTATGTAAATATGGCTCACTATTAGAGGAAATATTCTTTTTGAGAATTTCACAATGGTCTATAAGTGGTCATTCATTTCCCAACAAATCCTACCTATGAGCTGTATAGCCAGTGGCTAAAAGCACAACAGACCATCAGAATCCCAGCTCTGCTACTTCTTATCTGTGTGACTTTGGAAAGGTTACTTAGCCTCTCTGCGCCTCACTTGCATCCCCTGTAAGATGAGAACAATGGGATTTCCTTCATACGGGTGAAATGAGATACCATAAGGAAGCAAGATAGAAGTCATGCCAGTTACAGGGTAAATAACAGACACTACCTTTTATTAATATCCCATTATTTATTATTTCCATTTTTATGATCAGAAGTCTGGGCTTAGGGAGGGTAAATCACTACCCACTCACTATACTGCTGGACAAAAAATAATGAAGGATAGTTTTCTTTTATTCCTCCAAAACTCTTTATGTTAGAACTTGAGACTTACTCCATCTCCTACATAAGAGTAATACTTGTTAAACATATTCTGAAATCATATATGGCTCTTTCCACGATAATCATAATAACTGCCAACTTTATTCTAAACTCTGGGTGCAAAATTATCTCATTTTTAAGGTATTTATTGATTTATTTTAGGGGCGGAGAGAGTGGGAGCGCACATGTTGGGGGGAAGGCAGAGGCACAGGGAGAGAGAGAATCTCAAGCAGGCTCCCTGATGAGCACAGAGCCCGACACGGGGCGCGATCCCACCACCCTGAGATCATGACTTGAGCTGAATCAAGAGTGGGACGCTTAACAAACTGAGCTACCCAGGTGCTCCTTAATTTTATTCTAAAAAAAAAAAATCCTAGGCTATATTATTATCACCCCCGTTTACAGGAGAGAAAAGAGGCTTCATGAGGTCCAGTGACTTGCTTGAGGTCACACAGCTAGTGAATGTCAGAGTAAGAATTTGAACCTAGATTCATCCAAACCAAAATGACAACTCACGCCATTAGGAAGTAGTTCCACAATACCGTTTATCAATGATCCCCAAATTACCTGTTAAAAAGGAACTTTGTAAAATATACACATGACTCTGCTCAAGTCCATTCTTCATCAACTACAATTAAAAAAAAAAACCCACACTTCTTTTTTAACCCCCCACACTTCTTAAGTGGGTAAGAGCTCAAAGCTTTCCTTGGTGCAGAGCTCTCGAATGCTGGCTGAGCATAGTTTTCCCCTGGCACACATCTAGGGCAAAGGTTAGCTTGGCCACGGTCTGCGGTGCTTGTGGCATTCTTGTCTGGGCAGTAGCCACGAAAACTACTCTAGGAATGTGATTGGAATTAGGCTCAGTGCCGTCATAATATCCTGACATACTGTTTTGACGTGTAATGTGTTGTCTTTGTGCTTGCTCGCTAACAGAGACCCGTCAAATTACACGCACAAAGCAACGTTCAGACTTTCTTCCTTCCAGGAGGAGTTTCCGCTCTCAAATTCCCTGGGGATCTGAAATTCCTCACTAGTGTGTGCTCTGGAGGCACCGAACTATCTCTTCATGCTATTCATGTCTGGGGCAGAATAAAACCTCTGCTTTATGTTAATCACAGGATATAAGGTAACCACTGATATTTTTTTCCTGTTTGTAGTGATGACGATTTCATCATTTAACACTTAATGCAGGCATTACTTTCTCCAAAAGACTTCCCTGATTTCCCCTTGCACGGTAAGACACCCAACCTCTGTGCTCTCGTGTTATTGGCCTTTCCACTTAGTATTCAAATGAGAGTTTTAAAGCCTGTCTCTCTCTCTCTCCAGACTGTACCTGAAAACAGGGACCATGTCTTATTTAATGCACCAGCATGGAGTCACAGCAGGATCTATTACAATGTGTTCGGCATTCGGGCATTTCAGTTGGTTGGTGTGGATGTAGACGGGTCATTAAATACTCTTAATATCATGTCTGGACTTATTTCAATTTTCAGCATAATCACAACATCTTGCACATGGCAGGTACTCAGGACGCGCATGTGGACTTAATGACCGACTTACTGACTGGAGGAATAAACATCAGGTGTATCCGAGTCTTACTGCCAACCGGACACGTCATGAAAGATCGTGAATTACAATGCAACATTCTGAATAAGCAAGAGCCTTTGACCGCTGCAGATCCCAACGAGAGGAATGATCTACAAGGAAATACTAGCTCTTGCCTCCAGATGCCCGGTGTGAGCTGGGCTTCAGGAGGCCTTCGCGGGAATCCGACAGGACCGCCACTGTCTTCGCGGTCTCGATTCTGCCCCAACGCGGAAGTTGCAACCAGAGCATAAGGACCAGGCTAAATGGTCTCCCGGTCCTCTGCGTTTGGGGTAGCAGACTTACGTCTTACCTGTCGGTGCTGCTGGGAGACTTGATACCCCAGGCCTGTGATGGGCTGGTTCTGCATTTTCTGAAGCAGGATCTTTTGCTGCAGCGGCAAGGGGGACCTTAGCAAAGGCTGACCGGACAGGGGCTGGGCGGGCTGGGACTGCGGCGGCTGCGGCGGCGGCGGGGGCTGCTGGCCTGAAATGGAGCCCTGCGGC